TCTCTCTCTCTCTCTCTCTCTTTCTCTCTCTCTCTCTCTGTCTATAACTATAAACATGCTTTTAAAATCATATTATGAAACGTGTCAAAAAAGGCGAGAAATATTTGACACACATTACACCACCTTAGGAGACAAACATGGGCAAATCAAGTTCTAGTTTTTAGTAAAGAACGAGCTGTTCTTTGTATTGCCTTCTTTGGAGTATTTTTTGGGCGGATATACTAGAGTCTGTAATGTAATGGTTACACTCTATCTGGTACATGCAGAATACAGGAAAACCGTTGGGAAAAAAGGACAGAAAAAAGGGAGAAAAAAAAAACATTGGAAAAAAGGAAAAAACAGAGGGGTAAAATTTTAAAAAACGAAAGAAAACAGGGGGGAAAGCGTTGAAAAAAAAGACAAAGAAAAACAGTGGGAAGAAAGGTGGATTAAAGAAAGAAAACGATGAAAAAAAACGAAAGGAAAAAGAGGAAGGCGTTGAAAAAGACGAAAGAAACTGGGAGCAAAAAAGTAGAATAAAAATTGAAAAAATGAAAGAAAACAAGGTTGAAAAACGTTAGAAAAACGAGAGAATAATATAGGGGGAAAACGTGGGGGGAAAAAGAAAGAAAACAAGAAGAAAAAAAAAGGTTGAAAAAAAAATAGTTGAAAAAAAGAGAAATAAAACAAAGGAAGTGTAAACACAGACAGAGAGAGAGAGAGAGAGAGAGAGAGAGACAGAGAGAGATTGTTGTGGAGGAGGAGGGGGAGGATGAAGGGGAGGAGGAGGGGAGATGGGGGAGTAAAAGAAGAAATAGACGTGGGTGGACATCGACGAGTAGAGAAGAAGGAGATGCGAGAAGGAGTAAATTTTAAAAAACCTCTGACGGGCAGTTCGTGGCACTTGGCTTGGGGGAAGAGACGAGTAACCCCACCCCCAAGAAGAGTTCGCAGCCTTCTGGGTGAAAGACCTGCCCGCACGCAATCCACAGATTGATAGTGCATTTTCTGTCGACTTTGTCTCTATCCATAACAGTACAAGTCTGCCCATGACGGCTTAAAGATCTTCTTCTTCTTCTTTTTTTCTTCTTCTTCTTCTTCTTCTTTTTCTTCTTCTTCTTCTTCTTC